GTGTCACCAGGGATGACCTCAGAGAGCTGCACATCCTGAACAAACAGGTTGTCTGTGCCTGGAACACTGAAATCCAGCTATGTGATCCCACACTCCACATTTCCAACAGCAGGAGCCACCAGGAATAGCGCAGAGGCCACCAAGCTCCAAAGGAATGTGGGAAACAGGGCAATGCAAGGATTCCCCAAGGCTTTTCCCTTAGCTCAGCTGCTTTTCCTGCCAGGGTCCAACCAAATTCCCTGCTCTGTTGCCCTCACTGATGTTTTGTCACAGCACTTTCACCCCGTGATGGGCAGGACTCAGAGGGCACCTGCAGCAGCCCCTGGAGCCAGGCAGGTCCTGCTCTCCTGCCCCCAGTGTCTGGACTGGTTTGGGTTGGGCAGGAGCAGGGGGAGCAGAAGGGACACGACACAAGCCCTGCTTTGCTCTCTGGGTCACAAAGGCCTGACAGCAAATGTACAAAGCTGCGGGAGGGGCACGGGGCTCCTCAGTGCATTCCATGGACACGAAGGGAGGGATTGGGTCAGGTTGGTGTTTTGAACCCTTCCACCTCTGCTTTTAAATTGAACCCCTCACATCTGCCAGCACAGGGAGGATCCTGCCCTGCTGCCCTCACTCCTGGCTGGAGCCAAAGAACTGCAGGAAGAAGGAGAAGATGTAGATGATGTCCAGGTAGATGTTGAGGGCTCCAAAGATGTATTCCTCAGGGCTCAGCGAGTACCGGCGGTTCCCCATCAGCATCTGCGTGTCCAGGGCCAGGAACTGCAAGGGAAAGGAGGAAACCCCGGGACAGTGACAGGAAGGGCTCCAATGGCAGGAGAGCCTCCGAAAGTGCAGCCCCTTTTTATGGGCTGGAACCACAATTTAAGAGCTCAGAACAGGGCAGTGAACGAGCTGCAACTTTCCCCTTCCCTCATTTCCCTCCAGATAATCAAACCCTGAGTGTAACTCCCACTCCAGGCCCTCTTCCCTCAGGCTTCCTCCATCCCAGCTCTGGAGCCACCCTCCCTCCTCCTCCTCTCCCAGAGCCCACAGCTTGTTATTCCCACACTTCCCCCGGGTGGGAAACACCCGAGGTGGTCACAGGGTGGCCTGGCCCCAGCAGGACATGGAGCAGCACCACCAGAAATCCCAGGCACGACTGCAATCCACCATTTTCTCCTCCCTCCCTTTCTTCCTTCTGCCATCCTGCTACACTCCATGGCTCCAGAGCTCTCCAGGGCTGCCCCATCCTCCAGGAGATGCTGCTTTATCCCCCCCAGAACAAATCTCAGCTGAGCTGCCCTGGCAGGGCCAGGCCCAGGCTCTGACTGAGGTTTATGGGGTAATTATCAGATGTTGAAGCCTCCTTGTATTTTACAGAGGGATCTTGAGCCATGAATCAGCACCAAGCTCCCCACACTCCCTTGGAGTGACTTTTATGGGTGAAGAAGGCAATTGCTCAACTGCTCCTGTTCCCAACGTGCCCAGTGGGCACTGCCTGGGAGCCCAGGGC